GGTACGCGCTCTGAGGGGCAGCGCGGGGGCCGGGCGGGAGGCGAGGCGAGGCGCGGCCCGCTCCGGGCGGCTTCTGTTGCTGCAGCGGCGTTCAGGCCTCCGGTGTGGACCTGGCTTTAGTTCCCTGAAATCAGCGTCCTTCCTCAGGGACAGCTCTCCCCCTTCCCGGCGGGGTGTCCGGTGGTCCAACCGCGTTTTTCTGGACGGAAGGTCAGCCTTGGGCCGCGGAGCGTTTCACATGCGGGTTTCATTGACGGTTTTTATGGCTTTTCTGTTTGTCTTGGTCGTAGAGTGAAAGTGATTCTGAGCGAGTCGCTAGCCGTTGAAAAACCGGCATGGGAATGGCTTCATGGCTCTGAAGGCACGGTCCCACAACCCGCTTTAAAGCCACAGAGAAGTGTGTAAAGCTACTGCAGAAGTTTCTTGCGTTTTTGTCCTGCCCCTGGCCACGCAGTTTGACATTTTTGACAGACCAGGTACATGAAGCAGGTAGTCTGGTATTACAGTACAGGTACGTAATTGCTAGGGCCAGCACATCTGGTTCAGTGAAACTGTGTGGCTAGCATTCATAGATGGCTTGTTCGCTCCTGCAGTGTGTTGACTTATGGAGCTGAGGAACTCCCTCTTAATCTTTTGTGGACTCTTAGTTTTCTGACTTTTCCGAGTTCTGGGTCAGATGAGCTATAATTTGGAATTTTATCCTTAGTTTCATGTTAAGCCTTTCTTTGAGCCAGCAAATCCTGGGTTGTTTTCCCAGCTTAAACATTGTTTTGGTTTTTGATGTGCGACTACCAGCACATCAAGATGTTAAAGGCTGCTGGTGTGGTAATACTATTAAAGTTAGAGGGATTCTCTAGAAAGCTCAATAGTCAAGAATTACCATTTTTTCCCCTCTTTATTTCAGTTGAACTCGTATGACATAAGTGGAAGTGGCATATCATCTTTGAAGAGTGTATGGTGCAGCAAAGCAAAGCAAGAGCAATGTGGGCAGTATGTTCATCTGAGTGCAAGTGTGTTCCTGGTTTATGATTGTGTTCATCTGCAGGTAGGCATGACTAATTTTCCTTTCTTTTAGCAGGCATCACTTGATCACTTTGTGCATGAAGCTATTCTGGTTGATGACAGAGAGAAACCCCACAACTTGTGTAGTTTAGATCGAATCAGGATCAAAGGAGTTTATTGATCTATTAATGACATAATTAACTGTCAGGCAGTTAATTTAACTACAGTTTAACCAGTTAATTGAACTATATATTCAAGATCAATAGCAACAATGCAACAGATACGATACTAGGCACTTACAAAACGTTAATATATGCCTACAAATATTTAAACAGCCTTCTATATCTAATTCCAAGGAATTGTCTAATCGTGGCCTGCCCCTTCCCACAAGCACACGTTTGCATTGTTACATATGCACACCATCCCCTCTCTCGGGAGGAATGCATTTCAAGGATGACCCCCTCTTCTGGCTGTGTGGGTTCTCTTGTTTATACACGCCTTCTGTGGGAGATGTGGTTGCTCTAACTTTTGCCTCTCTGTGCGATCTACTAGTCCACACACCAGTTAGAAAGCTTCCCTCAAATTCACATACATGCACCCAAGATGTGGGTAGCTACTTTTTGCACCCTTTATTGTTACTGTACTACCCGGAGTGGAAGCAGCTCACAGTGTCTTATGGAGAGGCTGCTCTGTCTGGCCTAGGCAGAGGTCACAGCGCTGTTAGGGCAACATCTGGCCATGTCAGACCACATCGTGACAGATGTTCTTTCTGTTGCCCTCTCTTCTCTCCCTACTATTGCAAATTTTCATGCTTCTCTTGTACATCTTCCCAAGCTGACTCTTTTGTTTGAAGCCTCTTCGTAATCCCCTGGCTATAATGTTGGCAGCTTACCCCTCAGCTTTTTGTGTATAGAAGGCTTCTGTGCTATGGTGTGGTCCCAGTGGAAAACTGATTCTCTTTCTCCCTTTCTGAGGTATGAAAAAGAATGTAGTAATGAAATGCCGCTTCATCTTTATTGTTTTTCTCCATTTATAGTCAGGCATTGCCACCTGCTGACAAGAGAACACTTAGGGTGAAAACATGGCACATGACTAGGATGGCTCTGTATTACTACAGGGATCTGTGGGCATTTAAACTGTATTTAAACTGTTTCACATGAATCATCATAATTTGTGTGGTATCAAATTTCTTTGTATTTCTTTTGGAAAAGGAGGGTGAAAAATCATTTTGTGGATTGTTTTGGTGTATGTGTCTTCTTCTGTGCATGTGCACATGGAGCCAGTTATTTAAATTAATTTATTTAAAGTGACTGTTAAGGTAATTATTAATTTTTTTAGGTAATATAATGTAATCAATTTAAAGTGAAAACTATAATGGAAAATGTAGTAGAACAAAATACAATGAAAGCCTTAAAATTTTTTAGTAATTAAATTTTTCATGGAATTCATGTATGGTACAGGCACCATACTCTTAAGAGGCTATCACTTAGTTTCACCACTTTTGATTTACAAGTGTGCTTTAAAAAAAGAAATTCTAATAGGAGAAACCTTCCACAGTACTGTGGGGAGAAATATCATGCCATGTCAAAAGAGCATAGTATTCTTCTTATGCAGTTGAGCTATGTTTGTTTTCCCTTGAGAGAAACAGGAAAAAGATATGCCTCAAATTACTTAGCCACAGGTTGCCATAAATCAGTGTGTGTGGTTAGGACACTGAATGCGTTCTGTAGTTGAATCTCTGTGGGAGCAGTAGGTGAAGTACAGCAAACTGGGCGCAGGCACATGAAAACAACTCAAGTTGGAAACTGAAAGTTACTCAGTTGTAATTCTAGGTATTTGAGTTCTACTGCAGCTCTGTAGCAGCAACAAAATATTGACAGAAAATTAATTTGTAATATACGCACAAGCGACATTCTGCTTGTCTCTTATTCACTGCTTCTTGAAGTTGCCCTTCAATCTGTTGTATTCTGTGTGTGTCAAAATCCATGAAGGAGAACTTCTTACATTCAAACTTTCATGGGACAGGTGAATGGATAAGGGTATGCATCTTATTCATCCTACTGCTTGCAAGACTTTGTGAAGGAGTGGCATTTTACACTACAACAGATTTCTCCAAGATGGTTTCTTATTTTTAGGAGAAAAAAAGCACAAACAGTCAATTCTGTATTTGCACTTGTGTAAGAAGCTGCTTTTTCAAATATGAAATGAAAAACAATGTTTGTGTTCTAAAATATAGACATAGTGGACAGTAAAGCATAAAGGTATTCAGGCAGAAAATACTGATTTCAGAAAAGAAGAAACCGAGAATTTTAATTTTTTTTTTTCGCAGGCATTGTAGTTTGACTTCACCAGGTCTACGTTTTGTTTTTGAATACATCTCAGAAAAGTGACCAAAGCAGTCACTAACTTAAAGTGGAAAATATAACTTACGTAATTAAAATAGTATTCATTTTCATGAAGCAAGTTTCTTTATTGTATTGTTTACAAACTAGATTCTTGATACTGGGGATGTTGCAATATTACTGCAACATCAAGGTAGTACAGCACATATGACCAATACCACGAGTGCTTCGCAACCTGGCCTACAAAGCTTGGGTGTGAGAAATGGCTTCTCTTCAGAGTAGATGCCTCATTTCCAAGTTAAGTGCCAATACTGCTATCCTTTAAAGTGTCTCTTTTTAATCTAATAGGTAAAGCAAAATCTTGCTGTTCTGCATGCAATAAATTCACTTTTTTTCCTTCTTTTTTTTCCCCTGCAGTATCTTAAAAAAAAAAAGTGCTGTTTTGGGAAATGCGCTGTGATTTAAAAAGGAGGTTTTTGCTCCTCTATGCAACACAAAAGGGGCAGGCAAAAGCCATAGCTGAGGAAATATGGCAGCAAGCAGGTGCCCATGGACTTGAAGCTGATATGCACTGTATAAGTGAAATGGACAAGGTGAGATACTCCATGCTGTTTTAAAAAGTAGGTATTTAAGAGCTGCATTTTTCTTCATGTGCTTGAGTGGTGGCTGTTAATAATCATGAAGGCTGAGCACATGCACCCACCTAAAATATGCCATCTAGTTTTAAATTTTTGTTTCTTATGAATCAGTAATTTGGACCAATATTCACAAATGCTTAAGAGCCTTCTGCCAAAGGTACATCTTTCTTGTGATTTTTCTTATTACGACAGTAAGTGAATATATCTTTGATCTGTCTTCTAACAACAGTGCCGTGACGTCTTGAAAACTATGTGTGCAGTAGTGAATGAATTCTGTATTTATTGGTCAGCTCTCCTGTTGTTAGACATGACACATTTTTTTCTGTTGTTTTTGTGTTGCATTGAGGTCCTGTGTACTTTTAACTGTGGGCTCCAGCATGACCCTGAGCTTTTGTGGGGTCTTCTTGAGTTACTTAGCATATGCACTCACTCCAGTTCACACTGGATACACTCAAGTTATATTCTAGAAAGAAATAAAAAGCGTGGCTGGAGCAAGGAAGTGGCTTTTTACTATTTGCTGTTATCCAAGGGTAAGGATCTGAAAACTGTTAGTGTCTGTCTGTAACTAAAAACAATATGGACTGTAATTTCCTTCACAAAGTACTTGCAACTGTATGTCCTGGAACAAAAACATTTAAAAAAACCCAAACAAACAAAACTTGATGGCCTGGTATTTCATTTGAGATGAGCAGAAAATAACAACTAAGAGAGTGTTTTTCATGCACTCAAAAGTGTGAGGAGTTTATAAAAATAATTTAGTTCCCTTTTAGCAGGTTGCTTTCTTAGGGATACACTACATGTTGGGTAGCTGGACATCTGCTTTTGAATGAATGTTCACTGAGTATGTAGCAAAGTGTTAACAAAGAGACTTTTATGCAGCCAGCAGGGAATGTGAAGATTCTCCTTATATTCTTCCATTTCTTCCATTCTGTCTGATCCCATCCTCTTCCTTCAGCAATCATTCACAGCTTGAGCAGGCTGCTCATGGCTGTTGTGTGGCATTGCTGTCCTCAGCTGAGGAGTACTTTTGAAGGAAAGAGAAAGAATGGGACAAAGAGGTAACACTAAGGATATAGGAAGAAGTGGAAGGTACAGTGAAAAACTATGTAATTGTGTAAGGTTCTTGGTCTAGTGATATGTCAGACCTTCCAGTAATTGACACAAATTAATGCAGGACCTCTGTTGCCAAATATTTGGCTTCCAAAAGGTCTTTAAGTTTGCAGAGGAGAACGTGCAGTGGAGCAAGCAAGAATTTAGTGAACTAATCGTAACTCTGTTCTAATACACCACTTTTTATTTTCTGAGCTTGTATTTATTTTTTTTTAATTATTTTAATGGAACACAATTTATGGTAAATTTTTATGTGATACTAGTAGACCCTTGCTTTTTTTACTTGAAGAATTTGCTTTTGTTTGTAAATGCAGTAGTCCCCTGTGACAATGCACTGCAGAATCTGTTGTATTTGTACTTATCAAATCAGCTGTGGAAGTTTTGAAAATCTGGGTTACTGCAACAGGACCCTTAAGGCCTGTTTTTGCACAACTTATAGGTCATTTTTGGAAATCTCAGGAATTTTCAGATACTTGGAGTACGCCTGAACTTGTAAAGGGCAAAACCTCTGTTGGAACGTCCCTGGACCACAACTCACTGAAGTCTAGCAAAGTACTTGAGGAATATCCTTGCATGCTTTCTCTCTTCTTGTATGCTTCTCTAGGCACCTGCTATTGGCCACTGTCAGAGGCAGGATACTGTTCCAGATGGTAATTTAAGTTGCTCCAGGCAACTGCTTTTAGGTTCTTCCGGAAGGTTTTGGAAAAAATGACAACAGCAAAACCCCTTGATACTCTGTTTCTTTGCATTCCTAACCTTTTTGGATTGTAGGTATAAGGGGTAACTTTTTACATGGCTTGAGGAGGGGATAAGGTTTGAGTGATTTGTTGAGTGAAGTGTTTAGAGCAAAACTCCTCAAACTCTGAAGTTTTGAATTGCAGTCCTGAAACTGCTTGGAATGAAACATAGCATCTCTTGCAATCTTTATTTATATTTTCTCATAACCTTACTATTTTATTAAACTTGGAATGCTGGGAGAGAGTTTAAACTGAAACCTACAGGGAGCAGTAAAAGGAGCTTGGGTTGCTTATTATGGCAAAAAGGAGGCTAAGGTGTGACCTAATAACAGCCTACTTGAGCCGAACTTTTCTTGGCAGCAGAAGACTCTGCAACAGGAGGCAAAATCCACCGAGTGCAGCCTGATAAACTCAGATTTGACACTAGTGGAGAAGTTCTTCTGGATGGAAGAGGTTGCCCAGAAAAGCGGAATCTCTACCCTTAGAAGTTTCCAAAATTCAGTCAGAGTCATAGCTGACCTAATGCAGCGTCAGCAATTCGTCCCACTTGGAGCGTGGGGTGGGAGTAGGTGACCTCCAGAGGTCACTCCCGAGCAAGGTGTCTGTGGAGCTGTGTTTCCCATGGGTCGCTAACTGTCCGTGTGATTCAAAACCCGTAGCCCATAGGGGTGCTGTGAAAGAGTGCGTTGTGCGGGTGACCTGACAGACAGCACACGAGCACAGTGCTGCAGCCTGCTATCAGTCTAAAGCTGGAATAATCAAAGAAACAGAATGCTTTTTACTTGAGAAGTAATAAATGGTTGCATGAGACCTGAATTTATGGAACTGATGCACAATCCCAAACACAGGTGGTTCTTGTTGACCTGGTATAATGGGAGTAGCCCCCATAAAACCATGGGAAATGTGGAAGATTGGTATTAGCAAAGGGGAGAGCAATTAATTGGGGGCAGGGTGAAGGGGCCAAAATGAATCAGACTGTAGAGCACAGTGACTGATTATCTCTGTTCAGAGCTACCTTAGGTCCCCCAAAGCACAGGGGTTTTTTGTGGGACAGATGTAACATGGAAGTTATCAGACAGAACCAAATGATTCCCAATGCAACTTAGAAATGATCCCCACAGTTTGTACGACCACACCCCAGTTATCTGTGTGAAATTATCAGTGTTATGGCTAACTGTGTGATTGTGATTATCGTACATACAAAAATACTTTTTTCCACTTGACAAAGCAAATACTGTAGGAGTTGTGTAGTTAAGCTGTTGCTGTCTGAGTGCAGTTGTGAGTATTCTTTGCATATGTACTAGCCTGCCCAAAATGCTGCCCTTCGGCGTTTGTGTATGTGATCATAGGATGATTCAGGTTGGAACGGACTTCATGAGATCATCTCGCAGCGGGGTCAGCTGAGGTCAGAGCAGGTTCCTCAGGCCTTTACTGAGTCTGGTCTTGAAAACTCCAAAACTCCAACGAAGATTATAAGTTGCATCCCCAAAATTACTTGTAATTACTTGAAAGTCTTTCTGTGGTTTAATACAAGTAAGATGAGATTAAACATTTTTGTGTGTACCTTTGGGAAAAGGAAGGGTGGAAGATAATATCTAAGGCCACAAATAGGTATCAAGTGGCACCTTGTAACTTACTTGTTCTATTACTTGTAGTATAACCTGGAAACAGAAAAGGATCCTGTAGTTATTATTATTTCCACTACCGGTACTGGAGACCCACCAGACACTGCCCGCAAGTTTGTAAAGAAAATTCAAGACAGGACCTTGCCACCTGATCATTTCGCACATCTCCAGTATGGATTACTAGGTGATTTAGTATTTTCTATATTATTGCAGCACTTGTCTGTCAGTAAATAATTTTTATATTTTTTTACTTGTGAATAAGTTGTTTGGGTTTTTTTAAGTGCTTATAAAACATTTATTTTTATAACATGAACAACTTTTTTGTGTAATATCCTCTATGAGCAAGAAAGGAAAAGTGTCACAGAAATGATCTGAATGTAAGCTACCAATTTAATTTTTTTATAGTTTAATTTTCTTTGCATAAACAAAATATGATATAAGCTATCTATAACTGTTGAAGTTTTAATTTCATGTCAAGTCTCTGTGGACTAGATGAGTTTACTTTGCAAGTAATTGGGCATTTTTCTATACAGAGGGAAAGGCAATATAAAATGTTCTTAAAAATAAGGTTTTAAGATCATCCCATCCCTTTAAATTTGTAATATTTTTTTTTTAATTTTTAATGTCATACTTGTCAGTAGAAGATATGTAACTTCAGGTTAAAGATTGATATGCAAAATGCAGATTTGGCAAAATGCATTTGATATATCTTGATCTGATGGTAGGGTCAGTTTGTTGAATTTTCAGATTGTGTTTAAACAAAGTCCAGAAACTTCTATTTGAACCTAGGTTATTTTTGCCTGACAAGTTTAAGTTGATAGGTAGGAATCAGGAAACTTCTAGATTTTTAGTGAGGAAAGTACCCACTAGAAGGAAATTTCTAGTGGATATATAATGTGGACGTCTGAAATGCATGCATCCTAATCATGTAACGTTTTGAGAAGATGTTATGCTATTGTCTAGTTATACATAACAGTTTGTAAAATGGTTAGGTTTTTCATAGCTGACTGAATGCATATATGCATATATGAAGATAAGCATTGTATTAATACTGATTTTTGTGTAACAGATATTATTATAGTATCTAAGTTATAATATGTTTTGTGATTCTAGTCTAAAAAGTTACCAGTCTTAAAATACATTCATGGTATCTATTTCAGCTTCTCCAATGAAGTGTTCGCTCTAAGTACTGTACTTGAGAAGGAGCAGAAGTCTTTTTAAAAAAAAGAAAAAAAAAAAAGAAAAAAAAATAAGACCTTTATGAAGGAGAAGGGAATAGTCCATTGTTAGGTGGGGATGATAAGGATCTAGTGGTTTGAAACTGCACACAAGAAAGGGTCAGGCTGTGAAAAATTATGATAGTCAGGATAGTGAAACAGTGGTGTGGATTACTTACAGAATTTGTGAAGACTACCTAACCAGTGATCTGTGGGATTGTTAGATAAGCATGTGCTAAGGATGAGGTATGTGTGGTTGGTCACTTTTAGGGTGGGTCAGTGGTTTAGTTGATCTCTTAAAATCTCAGGTCCTCCATGAACATGCCTCCTGAGTCCACTGACTATTTGACTGATAACAAAGAGCATCTTCTTCTAACAGAACATCTTCATGACTGTTAAAGGGCAGAAAACCCAGCGCAGTGAAAATGAGATCTACAAGGAAATCTCTTATTCCCAGGGAGGAGGATGTTGGACCAGATTCCCTTATGCACATTTTCCTACATTTCTTACTTCATATTGTTTAAAGTCACTCCTGTGTTTGATTTTTTTTTTTCAAGGTTCCAATATTTTTGTATTACTTTTAATACTCTCTCCCTTATGTTGTTGATATATATTAACAATTTTAACCTGTAGATGAGATTCACATACAGTTTATCAGTTTCACTCTTTTTCTAATTATTTCAGTTCCTTACATTTTTCGTGTAAGAGTGGTTTTATATTTTTTAAGAGCCTCAAACTAAAACAACATTCTTCTGAAATGTGAAATATCGAAAGCAAAGTGTTTACAGAGAAATCCTGTGTCTTACACCTCTGAAGGGGGAACTACTTTTTCAGCTCTACTTTGGGAAAAACACCTTTTTTTTTGAAGGTCATAAAAGTGTCCTGGTAATATGCACTTTGCTATATCAGATTCTTCTGTTTCCTGCAAGAAAATCCTGTGTTGTGTTTGCAGATCTTTGTCTGTGTAGCCTGGGTGACTGGCTGATTGACATGATTCCTCTTTCCTTGAATTTGCTAGGTCTGGGAGATTCGGAGTACACATTCTTTTGTAATGGTGGAAAGACAGTAGACCGACAACTTCAAGAACTTGGTGCCCAGCACTTCTACGACACAGGATTAGCAGATGATTCTGTAGGGTAAGAGCTGAATGAGTTTGGATTTTATTTCTTCCAGATGCAATAATTATATGTGAATTTGGCTAAACATTCTGAAGTCTTTGAAATCAGTTGAACCTGGATACTCAGCACCTCATAGGAATGAGTCCTGTCTGAACACAGTATGCCTTTTCAATCTCAATTGCCATTAAATAAAACTTCATTTTTCAAGTGGGAGCAAACATCTGCAATGCCTGGAAAATATTTAGCAGTTTTAGAAATTAAGTAATTCAGAATAATTGGAGGGATTTAAAAAAGTAGTCTGTTTACTAAAGCAAATGAAAATAAATCCAGTTCCCAGTACGTGTGGTACCGGCTAATGGGCATCTCTTTCTACATACACATCAGACTTTTATCCAAGCTCACACCTTGCAGTATAGCTGCTTTAGGCAAACCCTACAATGTTCTTTAATTTTTTTCTCTCTTCCATAAAACATCCTTTTGCTTGCTTGTTTGTTTGTTTTAAATCACTGTCAAGGAATTATGTAAGAAGGTTTTTTTGATTACTGTAGAGGAATTATGTAAGAAAACTCCCTTCCTGTTCTGTTGCTCTTTCTGACCAGTAGACTGCAGTCTTGGCTTATTTATTTTGAACTGCAGATTATATTGGTTCTGTGTATGATGATATGAGACAGTTGAACACAAACATTGCCATAACCATAAAACTTGTATCTTGTGTTCTAAAATAATAAAAATTGAACATTAGTGTAAGCTATTGATGTTGCTGTTGCACAGTGAAAGGTTGCAACTTCCTGTCATAAAGTTCAGCATAAGAAAATAAAAATGAGAAACTGGAAGAAGAGCGAAGCTGTTACGCACTTCAGACTCCATAAATTTACATAGTGGTAATAACTAAATGAAAATTTTTTTTTAACAAAAAAGTCATCTTCGTAACAGCTGCAGATATATATTAAAAATGGAAAATTAATAGTATTTTAAGTTTTCTGGTCTTTTCATTATTTGTAAATTAACAGTCCAGTGAGTCACAATAAGTCAACCATTCCTTTCTCTCTTTTTCTCCATAAATTTACATAGTGGTAATAACTAAATGAAAATTTTTTTTTAACAAAAAAGTCATCTTCGTAACAGCTGCAGATATATATTAAAAATGGAAAATTAATAGTATTTTAAGTTTTCTGGTCTTTTCATTATTTGTAAATTAACAGTCCAGTGAGTCACCAACCCTTCCTTTTTTTTTTTTTTTTTTTTTTTTTTTTTTTTTTTTCCCCTCCCTCCCCAGTTTGGAACTAGTGGTTGATCCTTGGATTGATGGACTTTGGCTTGCCCTCGAGGAAGCATTTCTATTGCAGAAAGAAAAAGAAGGCATGACCAGTGATGCTGTTTCTAGCTCTCTCTCTGCAGCCCCACACGTTGGGCATGAACTAAACTTAAGCTCAGAAGTACAAAATTTGAAGCTAGATGAAAGAGTGAGGAGTGCTGATGTTCTGACACAGAAACTGGTTGACATCCATCTTGTGGCTTCAGCTGCAGACACCGAACCTTCACTTGTTCATTCTGTCCCTCCTGTCTCTCAGTCTGCTCTTAATATCCCTGCCTTGCCACCAGAATATATAGAGGTGCAGTTTCAGGACACCCACGGTGAGGTAAGGACTTCACTTTGAATGATGAAAGCCACCGGCTCTGGTAGGAACATGAGTGTATACTATACAGCTCAAAAGAGCAAGTGGATACTGATGTAAAGGCGATAACGTCCCTGAACGCAGGAGATTTTTGAATTGTAAATGAAAGGTCCATTTATATTGTCAAAATGTAGTCACCACCGTATGAGTTATGAGCACTGATGTAAAAGTATAATTTAGCTAAATAATAATTTGATAAAGGAATGGCATTGCAGTGCCAGGAATGGAAGAATTAAAATCCTCAGTGGCTTATGTTAGGACGGTGAAAACATCTTCCTGTAGAAAGGAGTATAGTACGATTTCTGTTCAAATCATTAGTACTTGCAGAATGCCTTAAGAGGGTGTAAAATTACTCAAAATCTCGCTGCATATTTAATAACAGAGAAACTTGTCAGTGTAAAAACACGATCATAATTTTAGTATTGGAAATAGAAGATGAACTGTGGATTGAAAGCCAGTGTTCTTTTCCTACGAAGCCATGTTGAACAAAGACCTGCTGTACAAGAGAAGAAAGCTCTTTAAGGGACAGGGAGCCAGGAGCTGAGTGTGGTAATACAGCCAACCGCATTCCCCGATAGCCAAGCAATGCAAACCAGGAGATGGCAGCCAGGATCAGCCAAGAGTGCAGATCATCAGACAAGTTTGTGGGAAGGAGGCAGGTCTGGGACCAAGCCAGGAAGTCGGTCTGCGGATCCCTGGATCAACAGTATCTGTGGCCAGCTGTGGGCATGGTTGTGGCTGAGCTGTCGACCAGTACTCCTGTGATGTAGCTCGGGCAGGGACTGAATACCCAGGGCTGAGCTGAGATGGGGCTCCTGGGCCCATGAGGAGAGGCGAGGGTGGTGTCCTCTGGTGAGGCTGGTCAGGACCATGAAAGCCCATTAGTATCCTCAGGGCCCTGATGCTCTCTGTGTTGAGAGTGTCAATGGTAATGCTGAGAGAGTCATTTAGTCTAGCTGATATAATTATGTAAGAGTGTATGAATTGAAACACTGGATAATTTTGCCTTTCTTTTAAACCTCATATTGTGGTTGGTTTTGCTCAGGTTGTTGAATTACATAATCCAAATTACTGAAACAAAGATTTATGATTTAGATGTACTCTTCGATTAAAGACTTAATACATGGGTTGAAAGTGATGCTATAGTGGTTAAAAGAGCCCATTTTCTTATTTTAAAGTCAGCATATGTTCAGGCTGATCTCTGAAATAATTGATCAGGTTCTAATATTGATGCCTTAACTTTTCTGTAAATAAAAGAAAAGTAAATTTTGCTTTCAAACAGCAAATTGAAAAAGCTGAATCTGTTAATCTGGAATTCAGTGACAGATTAAAGATTATAGTCCAAATTTCAGGTATAAAGCTGGATGGTTGTCTTGAGCCTTGGAAAGAATCAGGTTTGGCTTTTTTTCCTTTGGTGCTATTTTTGACATGGTTGGCTAGACCTTGTCAACAAGTAGGTCCCATGTAGGGTCATGTTTGTTTTTACAAGTATGACACAATTCATGTCCATTTCCAGTATCTCACATTGCAACAACCATGGGTATTTTTTGCCAAGCACAGCTGAAGTTGGCTTGTTTTGAAATGCATCAATTTGTGGCTTGGATATCTGCAAAAAGAGACTCCCTGCCATTTAAAGAAGGCTGGGTACACGGTCTCTCTAATTACTTATATGATCTATGTCCTGGGCTGTTGAGTCTCAGGGTTGAATTAACAAGCTGCTGCTTATTAGTAGCAGAGCAGTAATGGTCTGCATCTTACGCCTTTGTGGCAAGTGTAAGATAATACAATTTAGCTTAAATCTTGATCTCATTATGCCTTGAACTTGACTTGGAGGGAATACGAATGTAGACAGTTATCACAGTCCAGCTGATGCACATATGACTTGATATGGCCCAAAGCGTTAATCACCATGTCAAAATTTTAAAAGAATAATAAAACTTCCAACTGTTGGTCTCAAGTGATTCTTCTGTCTACTTTTTTCCAAATATGAAATCTTCAGATTAACCAATATTCTCTTATTGGTAGAATAATTCCTTTTCATTTGACAGAGTATTGTTATGGACATTTGGTATCTCTCCCACCTCTTAATTTTTGTCTGTATTGATCTCAAATGACACTTGCTGACAATAGTGATGGAGAAATGAGGGCTGCAGTCTGATCTTCAAGTGACAGCCTTTGACAGAGGTGGTCTGGAATTATTCTTGGCGCCCATTTACAATTCTTGGGGCACATTTTCACCTGTGTAGAAATGTTGTGGCATCACATGGTGCTGTTTTGTAGTCTGGAGTTTGCTGATTAGCTCTAAATTTAACTGTAGTTTTTAAAATTCCTCTTACAAATTGCCTGTAGTAATAGCCCCATCTGCACCCCAAAGTCTTAACCTGTAAATCTGCAGTGATGTTTTTAAATAGCTTCTGTTCTTACTTCTTATGTCTCTTCTGTACACATAGTAATCCTTGAATTAGGCGAGAGTTTTCTGGGTTTCAACATAAATGCCATTCTCTAATTGGCTATTTTCAAGGCAGCTTTTGAAAAAGGAAATAGCTAGCTGCATTTGATAGTAGTTTAGGCCCATTAGGCTGTTCAAGCCCACTGGCTTTTTATAGTTGAATATATGCCTGTTACTGCTTGGATGTAATTTTTTAAAAATGTGGAGCAAAACTCTCTCTGTATATAGAAGATTCGTGCTTTTCCGCATTGTTATGAATTGTTTTCTAAGATTGTTTCAAAAAAATTGTACCAACACTAATTCCTGTATGTCACAGTAAGCTGTCATTCAGCTGATTTGCATTTTTAGTGTAAGTTTTCGTGTCCTCTTTTTCAGAATCCACATCTGTCCTCACTGATTTCAGAGGGAACAACCTTTGAAGTGCCAGTTACAAAAGCAATTCAGCTCACTAGAGAAGATGCAATAAAAACTGCATTGCTCTTAGAACTTGATATTGCAGTAAGTTAGTGATGGCTTTTTCTTTAGTGGGTTAAAACAAAGGGTGAAAAGCATGCGTGTGTTATGCATAATAACTGAAGGGAAAATTATTTATTCGGCTGTTTAAAAAGAAATAATTCCCTATACAACAGGATGTCAGCTTAGGCTAATCCATTTTGTAAATTCAAAGCTTGATTTGTTCACTGAAAGGTATGACTCCATGGAATTCAAAACAAAGTGTCAAATTAATTTCTTTGTTGTTCCATGGATATTGTATTGACTGAAATACCTTTTTGAAGGGAATTTGCAGTGGAGAAGGGCAGGCTGGGAATATTGAAAACGAATACCCTTTCAGTTTGTAAGTATACAACTTAGGGAATATTCAGAAACTGTATAGTAAATTGTGACTATTCCTTGTGATAGGTAATCTAAACAAGTAATAATTTGACTAGTATGATCATGTGATAAGAATCATTGGCTCTTGAGCACTGTTTCTGCCCCTGGCATTCATTTGCTCTGACTTGTTAACATACTACTCAAACTGTCAACCTCTGTTACCCTAGGTGTAAAAACTGGTTTAGTTTATTCAGGGAAGATTTTATATACTGGTTTGAAGATGAAAGGCAGAGAGTACTCCATATTAATTTGCAAGAAAACTTTAAAAGGAAAATATGTTGCTTTTGAGTGATTTTCCAGATTTGTAGAATATTGCCTTTGGGATATTGTGATTTTGGCAGTAACGTCTATTGGACTCTGTTAGCCTAAAATGTGTCCATATCCATGGCACATCTTTAAATCTGTTATAAATAGAGTCTATTAAGTTTTGAGCAACTGAGTCTCTGAGATGACATGATTTTTTGCATATATTTGTATGTATACATGTATCCTCTCATCAGCACCCACTGAAAATGTGAACATTTTTTGCCTTTTTTTCCTGACGTTCTCAACAGTCTGCGTGTGCAGGTCACCTCACCTGATGCATCAGGAAAACATAATAATGCAAGTAGAATTCTGTATATTCCTATAACAGGCAGAAGCTTGAGTAGGGTTTCAGCAGTTGCGCACAAGAACCTCAGCCAACTAAGTAGAATCTAGGTCTTAAGATCCAAGGTACCTTTTAATTTTCAATGAGCTCTTCTCTTGCTATTTTTCTTTTTTCCTCCAGAAAATAAAAACAGTTGGGGTCATTTCAGTCACAGTTCATCAAATAGTTTAACCAGAAAATTTTCTTTTAGTGATAATGTATATCTATACAAAGTTGCATTAATTATAAGGACTTAATTTCTCTGCTCTTCTCAAACCAGAAAACAAAGTACATCAGTAATTAATGCTATGGGCTGGTTATATAACACATCCTCTTAATACATATTTATTTTCCTTCTGTTTAGGCTGCTCACCAGTTCTTATCAAAGAATGTCCAAATATTTAAACCAGTTAAGGAAAAGTTTTTCTAATTAGTAAGGTTAAACCTGAAAAGAAAACATGAGTAGTTTCTGATGTGCTTCAAACAGTGAAGTGCTAGTACAGAGTAAAACAACATATGACTTCATGTGACTGCGATAGTAGGAAGATTGTTGTTAGCAATGGGCATGCTGTTGTCCTTGGTTTGTGACAAAATTTAATAGAAATGATCTTATATTTTAAAAACAGGATACAGTCTTTGACTACCAACCTGGAGATGCCTTCTGTGTAATATGTCCCAACAATGTCAGTGAGGTGGAAGAACTTCTTCACATCTTGGGACTTTCTGAAAAAGCAGAGTACTTCGTTTGTGTAAAGGTTAAGCAGGGCACTAAAAAGAAAGGTATGGTGTGATGCACTGGTCATGAACAAATACTCCTTTCTGTGCTGGTAATAGTTGGTATGCATAGTTTTGAACATTTTTATCTTTAGTATTGGGATACAGCTCTCATTTCATGGAGGCATGTTGAAAGTCACAGAGATGTGTTAAAAAAAGAGAGGATGCATAGAATGCTGCTGCTGGTTTTACTATAGATGAGTAAGCTTCTGACTGGGAACTTGAGCCTGGCATTGGCGTTCATCCATCTCATTCTTCCTCTGTGCTCCTTGATGTTTATGGAGATGAGTCTTTAATCACATAACAGTCCCCTACTTGAAAGTAAAATCTCTCCGTGCACAGCACTTCACATCAATCTGTTTTACATCTTAAGAGGGCTGCGGTCCTGAAGCAGAAGACTTAGTGCTGCTGCAAGGTGCCTTTTAAGGGGCTTGTAGGTCTACATGGATCTGTTCTGCCGAGTCTTATGATCCCACATGTCAGAAAGGGTAGCTGCAGGTTCAAGGTATGCCCGTGTACTGCCAGCTGGACCTGTGAGAATTACTATTCTCTTGCCTTGCAATTGGTGTCTTAATGGTGCTGCTGAATTGTACCTTTAGTTCTGCAGGATGGGGTAGGGCTCTTTGTTGTTCCAGCCTATGGGTAAAGCAGTTCCCATGGTGAGATTCCCTGCATCATTGAGGGCAACACAAGTTGTGCCTTAAGTATGAGATGTAAACGGATGCCTGTTCTAGGAACTTGTGAGTAACTCACTTGTTAATGAGGTGAGTTTACATGACAGGCCATGTTGTAACATATCATATGGGACGTCCACGCCCAGCTGATCCCCATCCTTGACCCGCACTCCAGTAACTAACCTCTGCTGGGATGGGTCACGGGTTAGATTTGGTGCAGAGCCAGTATCAGTTACAGCTTGGTCCCTGCACTGGGGATGGGCCCTGTGTCTGCAGGGCTGGTCTGGCTGTTATCCAGCCCCACTGTGCTGAACCCCCTCCCCCTGCACCCCCTCTCTTGGGGAACCCCCATTGTCCTTGTTCCTCTGGGACAGATCCCCTCTAAACACACCTGCTTCTTCCCTCCCTGCTCCTCACCCCCCCCCTCCCCCCCCACCAAAAAAAAAAAAAGAAAAAGAAGAAGACAAAAAAGGTCCCGGGGCGGGGGGCAGCTTTGTAACAATCTCCCTTTGGATCAGGGCTGGTCCTGAGCACCCTCAAGGCAGTGTCACCCCATCCAGGGCCCAACTGTGCACAGGCAAGCAGCAAGAGACTGGGTAGTGTGGGGGGATTTCATAGGTATGTTATTTCTACTGTTTACACTATCTACAGATTTTACAGAATCAAGCACATTTACAAAGGAAGCAATTAAAAAGGAAGGATATAACAAAGGAGGAGGTAATGGAGGGCCGAAAGCATCAGATCTTCATAGGAGGGTGGGCTTGAAATGTTGTCCCTCCTGAAGGCTAGTAGGTTTTCCTGTGCAAATCAGAGCCCTGCTACCTGGCTGCATAAAATTTGGATCTCTCTCTGTAAGTTAAAGACGGTGTCAACAGCATGTTCAAAGTGAAGGTCTCCTTGAATAGGCACAGGGAGATATTCTCTCCTTCTTGCCTACAGTAGTTCCCTTTTTTCTGCTATACTGATGTTGCAGGAAGGATGTAAAGCTGCCCTAACAGGGCACTTCAAGTTCATCAGTGTCAGAGCACTTTCCATGTGGAACAGAGCCTGCATAGCCAAGTGAACATAGCTTAGCCCCTTGATTGTTCTTGTATACCAAAAAAACTGTCCTTCCAAGGCAAAGTTGGTAAAATGAGTGAAACTTGGAATATCGGTGCTCTCATCCTATGTGTAAATAATCCTGGTTATTGTATCTCTGGCTGCCTAATGTAACACTAATTGGGGGGAAAAAAGTGAAATTATGTGTTATTTATGCAACATTTTGCAATATCTTGTGTGTAAAATGGCATGCCTGTTTGTGAATCTTAATGAATGATAATGGAAAGGAAGATCCTGGATTGCAGCACAGAGAATCAAAGTTCTTGCTTCTGCTCTTGAGTCTTCTGGGTGACCCAGAGCAAATCATGCTGACTTTTTACACTTGCCTTGGATACTTGGCCAGGACCTAGCAAGTTGCTGCTCATCCACTGATCTCCAATCATGGCTTGTACACTGACTTCCATCCACTGGAGTGACAAAGTTAAATGGTTTAGCATCAAACCCAAGTTAATTTCTTTGGAGCTGTGCTGGTGAGCAGAGACTCATAAAGTTACTGTAACTTAATTACTTGTTGCTAATCTGTACCAAAGAATTCAGCTCTGCAATGCAGCTTTGCAATTCCTAGCAATGTTCTGGAGTTGCTTTCCTTTTGACATGGTTGTCTTTTAACTGCAGTCACATTTCTGAGGAATTTGTAATAGTTACAACAAACTATTATGGTTGTGGGTTTACTGAATCAAGAGAGCTGAAAAACATGAGAGACGAGCATGAACAGCGAGCTATGCCTCTGCTGCATCTTCAAGATTTACCAGGAATTCCACTGAATTTTATTCACAGCCTCACTTTGTTCAGTCTATGAATTCTTTGATGAAGTAGATGAGATCAATTGAGAGGACAAAACAGAAATTATTTGCAGTCTGGTACAAAGTCTGTTGTTCGAATACTGGATTTCTGTAGTTGTTTTTTTATTGTATATACAAGCATCCTAGGAACAGGATTAAGTACTTGTTGCAACATGCTGTCAGCATGTTCAAGAAAAGGAAGTTTATATAAATGTGAAAATGGATGCTTCTTTCCTGCATTATATTTATGCCAATCCTCTTCTAAAAGTAAATTTTGTTCTTTGTAGCAAGGATTCAGTCAAGTAATGCTGATACGAAGAGGTAATTTAGTAAGTTATGTAGGTATATTCTTGGAGCAAAAATTCTGTAGTATTAAAGGGCTTTTGAGCATGGAAAAAACATAGTCAGAATCAGTAGCTAGATGTCAAAGCCAAGAAACATTGTCAAGAGAAATCCCAACATGCAAGTTGGGTCTGTAAGGAAACAATTTGGGACCTGCAGAGCTTATTAATTAAAGGTGTTTTGACACATAAATGCTTTTATGTTGCTTTTGGGATTAACCTAGAATAGCTGCTTTAGCATGACGTGGCATGAGGCTGATAAGCCTGGCTGCACCCTAGCTGACTCTGTGAAGGGATAGATGGGATGTCAGTGTACTTCCTTCCCAGAAATGGAACCTGTAGAGAGTACAGGAGGAATTATTTGCTTGTACAGAAACCCCTTGGATCTGCTGGGCCTCAGAAGCTCCAGCTTGGCACTGGCTGCATACACCTTTGGTTAGATCATTAGAAAACTTCAGTGTGTTCCAATTTTCAGGAGTGCTTATTGATGGAGGGGGAAAAAGTGCAGATGTTCCTTTTCCTGGTAAGCATTCCTCTGAATTTTTTTCAAGGTGGAAAGCGGCAACAAAGCCTTCAGTGGTTTAGCAATGAAATTTATTTGAACACTCATGTATTATACCCCTCTCTTTGTTTCCTGCTTTCCTGATAAGTTTTGACTTTTCATTGGAAAATTGCCATTGATACTTCATTGGAAAACTGTCCTGCTGTTTAGTTTATAATTTCCACTAATCAGCTGGGGCTCAAACATACAGAATTGAATGCAGTTTAGCTCTCTTGTATTTCAAATACTTATTTGAAGGAACAAGCATTCTGTGATGCCATTTTTGGATGTTAATAGATGCACATTTTGTTTTATTTTCTTTCTCCCATTGAACTAGGAGCAGCTCATCCACAACACATCCCTGAAAGAAGCACTCTGAAATTCATTCTGACCTGGTGTCTGGAAATAAGAGCGATTCCCAAAAAGGTGTTTATGTCTTTGTTCTTTTAAAGAGAAATCCTTCGTAATTCTGTGCTGTATGGGCTCGTACAGATCTATCCTCACTTCGTGTGTAGTTACCATGTTTCTTGGTGAATAAGGATTGTCAGTTTGTATGCTGCTGTTTGTACTTTATTCTGAGAAATTTCACTATTGGTACTTTATCTGGCAAACTGTGAGATACTGAAATCTCTATTCCCGTTCTGCAGTACCTTGATTCATAATTACTCTGGAAGTAAATAGAAAAGTATTAGATATATGGTGCCAGATAACTGGAAGGATGACTGAACCTGACCCCATAGGCATTTTAGAGAAATCATCTTTTCTAATTAGAGGGAACCATATTTGTCAAGTTTTTGTCACTAAAAATATGCATGTTGCTCAACGCAAACATACCATAATGTCTTTTAAATTATTTTAAAGCTTTTCTTCAGCATTTCAGTAACCTGGCAGAATTTGAGGAAAGATTTTTGCTTGTATAGTATTCGTTCTCACAATGTGTGAATATAATTTTCCTTTCATTCTGTGCCTGCAAAAAACTGGAAGCTTGCAACTGGAAATGCAGGTGTATTTCTGGTATGGTCAAAACATATTTTAAAGATAACTTTGTATGAAGGATGAAGCTAAACAGTTCTGTTGGTTGGGTCTCTGAGGGAAATCAGGTTTTGGAGGGACCTTTTCGCTCAATTTAGTGGGTTTCGCAGCAGAAGGGAAGAGAATCTTCCAGTTGTTTCAACCTTTTCAAAACTGAATTTAACAATTTTGAAAATTTGTCTCAACAATAAGAGTAGGCAGAGAGTGCTGGCTGGTGAATATCACCCAAATCAGTTTTTATAACCTATCTACTTTATTACCTGTTCAGTGTAGAATGTGCTTTATGTAACTCTGTACTCAAAACTATTGTCTGGAAGCTCAGTGTTTGAGCACACTCAAATTACTTTCCAAGTATTCTTTTGTGTAGAATATGTCATCTGATTGCACTTGGTGTTTTGGATCACTTTTCTTTTATGCACTGTGTCTATTTCCACCTTGCTTTTGGAAAAAAACTTGTAACTATTTACATCTGATTTTTACTTTATCTTACAATGCTTAATTTAATTTTCCCTTAAGAAAAGCTTGCAGTACCATTATGTGGGCATAAAGTATGGAATAAAACACCACAGTGACATTTACATGACTCATTAAATACCATACTTTATTTACAGTAATACCTCTTCTTAGCAAATGGTGTTTTGTCTTGAATTAATTTGTGTTATGAAGCTGTTTACTTAACTAAAGTGCAAATACAAAAATAAGAAAGCCTTTCATAAATTTGGGATTTTTCAGGGAATGGGTTGTGCCTGTTTATTTGGCTCTCCCCTGCTCAGGCTAAGTAGGATTTTCTGACCTGCTAGCTTGTCCCAGACACTAGATGAGTGGGGTGGGGGGTGGGGGGGGGAGAAAAGAAAAATGTAAATTTTTCATAGTAGGTGAAAGTGTGTATTGGAAAATGATTATGGATAACTGTATTATCCATTAAGCTGTCACATGACTTCTTCCTGTCCCCAGGCATCCCAAGTTTTTCCCAGATTCGTGACCATTTTTCCAAGTGGACAAGTTTTTTTTACCCTTCACTCTTATTTTCTTCCCCACAGGCATTTTTGCGAGCTCTTGTAGAATGTACCAGTGATGCAGGAGAAAAACGGAGGCTTCAAGAGCTTTGCAGCAGACAAGGAGCCTCTGATTACACACGCTTCATTAGAGATTCTAATGTTTGCTTGCTGGATTTACTTCATGCTTTTCCAAGCTGCAAGCCTTCGCTTAACCTTTTAATTGGTAAGTGACTGATTTAGACTTAATTAGATTTGGTTTCTGATAATGCATCAGACTAAATGTTCAATTTCCCAAGAAAGAGGAATAACTGTTCAGTTAACTGCTTTAGAAATATTATAGTATCCATAGTGATCAAACTAAAACTATTGTTGTGGAACAAAGCTCTGTTCTCCAGTTTGTAGTCTTTGGCCTTCATTCTGCAAACACTTAGACATGTACCTATGCTTCAGTTGACTCTGGATTGCTCTTGTGCATAAAAAATAAGCATAAGATGTTTGCAGGTTTAGGGTCTTTAAGAAACAGTTTATCAACTGCTTATAATTAAAAAAGACATGTTTTTACAACTCCTGATTTCCCTGCCTACATGGTTTTTTCTTGCACTTTTACCTGTTAAAACAGAAAGCTCTTCCCAGTATGTTTCTATTTATGTAATGTCAAACACACTCACTGGGTTCCTTATATAAAACATTGAAGGAATGAGACTCCAACTGTAACCATCTCAAATACATCTGAAAATACTGACAATTATTTTCCAGATTAAAAACCAGAATTTCTCAATGTGTTTCATTATATGAAACAAAAAAATTGCTTTTTATGTTCTTGCAATCATCGTCTTCATGCTTACCTCAAATCTCTCTTCTTAGTACACTGTGGGGATTTAACAAAATAAATACAAGCTCTGCTTCGCTTTATACAAATACATGAATTTTCACAGTGAAACCAAAACCACTTAGATTTTCAAAGGTGGTATGGAACATGCTGTAACAACTGAACTGAATAAAAGGGAATTTTGTAAGTTTTTTAAATGTGTTCCCCTAGGAAAGTAACATGCTGAATGGGCTTAGCGTCGTCTTTAAGTAATTTCACTGAACTAGCTTTTCTTAACTTTGACCTGCAACTATCTTATGTAGCAGAGCATCTTTAAAATATGTCAGGGTGTCCATGTACCCGTTGCAACATCTGCAAAAGGGTAGTACATGTGGAAAAATAGCTAAAAAGCAGGTAAACTGTATGTTACCCTGTTACTCCACTGCATGTTTTCTGGCATTTGCTATGCCCAGTTTTTCTGGTATTGCTTGCCCATTGTTCACTTAGCAATATGTCTGTCTCCTTTTAATATGCCCTTATCCCCAGCCAAAATGTGCAGTCTGCATGCAAGTCATTCCTTTGAAGGCACCAGTGAGTTTGACCTTTTCTGTACATGCACATACATACGTAGATATAAATGTGCGTGTGTGTGACTGATATAGTGGGTTTCTCATTGAAAAAATGCCCAGTAAACTTCTCTGTTGTTTTTTTAGCTGTGGTTTCAAAAATTTGCATAGGCACTCGTAGTGGTTTGAAATTGAACTGGTATATCTGCTTCTAGGACGTTATATATAGGAAACTTTCAATCAAGTATTTCCTATTCTGAGAGCTTTTCAGCTCGTAGGTGAAAGGTGGGGAAAATTAAATTTCAAGCTTCACCTTGTCCACTAGCTACTGGCATCTCTTCTGTGCACCTTACAGTTGTTTTCAATTGACCAAGAACCCCATAAGTTAACTGTTGTGGCCTCATTTTATAGGATCTCTAACAGATGTTCCACAAAGTCTAAAAAAAAAACCCATTCAAAATAGATTTCAAGTCTTAATAGCTTATTCCTGAACCACAAACACTAATGTAAATAGAGTAAAATTACAGTTAAATTATAATATGCTTGTAATCTGTTGTAGTATAAACACTCATTACATGATATTTTCATTTTCATTGGGGTGAAACAAATAATAAGTGTTCTGTTTTTTTTGTTGTTTTTTTTTGTTTGTTTGTTTTTTAATTTTTCAGAACATCTTCCTAAATTACAAGCCAGATCCTATTCAGTGTCAAGGTAATGAAATATTCAAATTATATCTCCTTGGTAATTTAGGTATGCTTTTTTCTCAAATGTGTGTGTATGTACATTATAATCTAAAGAAGAAAGAGAGGAATGAATGATAAAATCTGAGGAAAAAGTTATTGTGTCCCTGTTGCAAAAAAACACAGGGTTTGACTATTTCAAACACCATTGTTTTGAGTGTCTGGCAAAACTTTGGTAGAGTTCCCAAGAACAAGCTTACACACATAGGAATTTGGATTCCCTTCTGTAGGCACTGGCCTCTGAGTCCAACCTTAAGACGTTTTCTAACTATATATAAATATCACACAGTTAGCTGAACACTGAGAATCTTGATTCAGTTGCGGTGGTCTGGGCTGCAAATGGACCGGATGCAAGATTGTACAGCTATCTCTCAGGTTTTGGGTTTTTTTTTTTTATACTTTTGTATTTGCAGTTCAAACTTATATCAGCCAGGAAAACTGTGTTTTGTATTTAATATTGTGGAGTTCCCTGCCTGTCCCGCTAGACCAGTCTCACGGAAAGGAGTATGTACAGGGTGGCTTGCTGAGTTAGTTGCACCTCTACTGCACCCCAATAAAAACACTCTGGATACAAAAGGAGCAAGCTCTTCAACTGAAAAGGTATGAATATTAGATCTAGACTCCTTAACCGTTAAATTTATGCATGTTTGAAACAACTGCAGGTTTCTTTGTTCACTGCTCTGATGTGATGCAGGTGTTTTGGCAGTATACACCTTCATTTTGCAGTTCTGCCCTACTTGTAAGTTTACCCTTCCCTCTGTAACATGTCTAGCACTTCATTGCTAAGTTGCTAAACTTACATTTTACTTTATCTATGGACACCTGAGTTGTGAAACTTCCCATTGCTGAAAGGCCAGAGTTGTTTTACACCTCACTGTAGTCCTAAGAGAGTCTTGGAGGATGTTTTCATGGGCTAAAATACCACTGTGCAATTAAATGGTTATGACTGTTAGTGTTGTAGGAGAGAGGCACTTGGTCATTTCCAGGAAAGGATGGCAGATAATAGGGAAGTAATCATAAAACTCACTTCTTGCCAGGTCTCGCATAGCTTGCGAAGGCCAAGTTATGGAATATGACACAGGGGACAGTTGTCTGTTGTGTTTCTGATGTTCATCAAAGATAGTTTGGCATGGTGGGTATTATTAGGAGAAGGCACTTTTTTTTGCCTCTTTTCCTTTTGTGGCAGAGAATCTATGTAATTAATTGATCTCAAAGTTATTAGGTGTAAGCTAATGATTAAAAATTTGCAATTCTGCTATATAATTAATATGACAAAAGAACTGCTGCCAGTCTAATCTATATTTGATTAAGAAAAATGGAAACAAACATGTAATTTGGTTACAAGAAAATTGTGCCAATAATTCAAGGTGTTGGTCTGGCAAAATGGAAGGAAAACTCATACAAGTTATCTTCATTTTTTAACACTAACTCAGAAGACAAATGAATCAATATGTGCATCGTATATCATATTCCAGTCACATCTGCTCTTTATTTAAGATATAATTGATTTGCAGTATATTAAAGATCAAACATGAAGAAGAGGTGGAGTTAAAAAGGGAAAAAAAAGGATTATTACAAAATGAGTCTGAATAAAGTTCAGAACTATTCGCATCTGCTGTGCAAGCTAGAATTCAGCATTGATAAATGTGCAGCAATACACGTAGATTGCAGAAATATGTGGAATACCAATACAAAATAGAGAGTGTGATCTTATGCAAAAATACCTTAGATTAATTGAAAACACTTTACAGTATAAATGTGTTTACCATTTGCAGTATTTTTTAAAGGAATGACCAGTTTGCAATCATTAATAGGGAAAATAGCCTCCTAACTCAAGTGTGGTTTGAAGTAGTAAGTATAACAGAAATACAAATATTGCCCCCCCACTAGCAAGAGCTATACTATTTTTTTTATCATCGTGAAACCAGAAAAGTAATCCTGTTTAACATTGTAGTATCTGTAGTGAATTAAATGAATAGTGCTAAACCACTCGGGTTTACAGAACAAAGTTTAAATAACTTGGTCTAGTGCTGCACTCCTTCCTTAAACTTGAAAGTAAATTCAAATCCTTTCATAATGGATGTGCAAAATAAATCAAATGTTTGCTTATGACTTTAATGGATAAAGCTCTGCTATGGCTGCTGCTGAGTCTTGAATAATCTTTTAAAGAATTAAAAATAGTCATCTCTCATTTTCTATACATTATGTTAGCCATGCCTCAGAGAATAGTTGTGGAGCTCCTATGAAAATTATATTCAGACTTCCTTTCAAACACAGATCTGAAGATCAGAATTAGAGTTTATTGGTGGAATGATATAAACCATTTTCCAAGATCTTTGAGCAGTTATCTGCCTCCCCTCACCCATATGCATTTTTGGAGACCATGTAAAACTTTATGAAAATTAAGAAAGCAAGCTTCGTATCAGTAGGCTTCAATTCGCTATAAACAAATCCTTACCTCCACTGGAATATTTTTAGATGTCCACAATGTAAAAAAGATTGAGTTGCCTGTAATAGCAATAAACTAGTTTTTCTTCCCTTTGAGTACCAACACCAAACTTTCCATGAATTCTGGAACGGTATTCCCCAAATTTATGGTGCAGTCAGGTTTCGTATTCAGCCACTCATGTTTGTGTGGTTTTCCCTAGTTTTCCTCCAACTGGATTAATAGGTTTGTAAATATGGTGTGGATTTTTTTTCAGAAATTCATGTGAAATTTTATTCTGAATGTCTTGTGTGGCATTAAAAATAAACTGAAGCTCAGGATTTGGAAGGGTGTGTGGACACATATGCTGTGTAAATATCCTGAAGGTTCTAAAAATTTCATGGTATTTTCACTGCTTAAGAATATTCTTCAATTGTATTCTATCTAATTTCATTTTAGATATCTATTTTTGCTCGTCCAAACAATACTTTCCACTTACCTGCAGACCCGTCTGTCCCGTTCATGATGGTTGGTCCAGGAACAGGAATTTCACCATTTATTGGTTTCCTACAACATAGGTATGTACAAAGTTGTTACTTGGAAAGCAGCCTTTTTATGTTGAAGAAAACACAGCCTCAGGTTTTGAGTACAAATGCAGTTAATCTTTTTTTTTTCTTTGTCTTCTTTTTACTTTTTGTAACAGTGGTATGCTGATTAGAAACAGTCTTATTAATTTTAAACAAGCAGTGCTTGTGTATTTATTTATTTTTCAAATTAATATAACTTACACTTTCATCTGACTGTATTTAATATCCACAGAGCATATATGAGGAATTGGGTGAATTGCAGAAACAGTAATAAGAAATGAAATCCTTTATGTGTGTGCTGCTAGTGGAAGTCCTGTGAGAAGTTGGTATTTTCTAGAAACAGTGTTGATTGGCGTAAGTTTGGCATTCAAAATCCATTTCCTTCTGAAGTGGCATCTATATTAAAAGCCTTGGCATGGTGAATGTCAAGTTTTCTCACACATTTCCTTATTTCTGTGTGTTTACACATTTTGAAGTCGTAAGATAAGGAGCTTGGCACCTGAACCCTCGACTAGGCAGTAGTCTTGGATTTTGTGGGTTTGTATTTGAGGGAAGGTAGATCCCTTTTTTTTCCCCTCCAAGTCCAGCAGCATTATTTTGCAAGGCAAAGAGATGCTTGTTCAAAAAGATACCACATCACCAAGAATATGTAAAAACATGAACATTCAGAGGAAACGAAGAATGGGAAGAGGGGAATATTTGGGGGGGAATGGTAACAAGTTTTATAGGTAACCAAGACATACCATTCCTATGTGACTCATTAGTTCCAGCAAGATAATGGGCGTTTCTTGCATCCTGTAACAATTATTTTTAAACCATTTTATTTGAGACAAAAGTGAAATTTTGACATGATTTTTCTGACTCCATGCTTTCGCTTTAACCAAATCATTATGTATAATCCTTACTCCTTAATTTTAATTCCCAAATCTACCTTTATCTCTCAGAAGTGTTTTGCATTTTATTTTAAAGGATTCGTAGCATTTCATAAGCATTTGATCAATGTTAAATGAAATCTCTCTCTCAAAATGTAACTGGAAAGTTGCAGCTAAAACCCCTCTAAAGTAATACCTTCATCATTATTTCAAGAAAATGCAATAACTCTTCTGATGGTGTGGTAGTAAATAGATTGTTATTCATAAAGTCTAGCGAGTTTCTACAGCTAAATGGAAAGTATGCTAAAACTGCTTTGTGCTGAGTTTTCCCAGGTGTTTTCACAGAGCTTCCAATGAAGGATAAAGGGTAGTGATCTCCTTATTCAGCAGTCAGAGTTGTTTTGTGAGATGTTTGGAAGTGTCAGTCTTGACTATTCCAATACGAAACTGTGGCAAAAAAAAAAAAAAACCCTTTGAAGTTGATTGATTTTGAGCTGGGCCAAAAGTGAGTAGTCAAGAAAATCAAAGAAGGAGGGTTTGACTGTGATTTACCTTAAGTCATTTCACATTTCTGCCAATTGAGAGGTTTATTAAAGCACTACTTTCAATGAGAACTAGGTTATAGACGTTTTAGATTATTCACTTGATAAAACAGGATTGGATTTTTTTTTTTATCTGTTTAGGCAAAAGCTCAGAGAAGAACATACAGACTGGGAATTTGGAGAGACATGGCTGTTTTTTGGTTGTCGGCATCAGGATCGAGACTATTTGTTCAAGCAAGTTCACTGTTTAGCATTCATTTTGTATTCATAAGGGAATGCTTATCTCTGAGCCATTACTAACAGTTTTTATTGCCTTTCAGAGATGAGCTCAGATGTTTTCTTGAAAATGGCACGTTAACTCATCTTAAGGTTTGTTTCTCAAGAGACTCTTCAACTGCAGAAGTAGCCCCGCCTAAATATGTGCAAGATGTCATTAGGCTTTATGCTAAGGAAGTTGCCAGAGTCCTGCTGACTAAGGAAGTTGCCAGAGTCCTACTGAAAGAGAGAGGTTACTTCTATATATGTGGGTGAGTAGAGCGGAGATGGAACTGTCTCAGAAAGAGAACAGAGTTAGCAGAAGTTTGAGGCTTTAGAAAGACTTAGAACTGTCTGAAAAAAAAAAAGGACCAAAGAAGGACCAACATGATGCTGAAAGAGCCTTCCTGGAATGCTAGAATTTTGTCGCTATGTCTGTTTTTTCCAATATAGTCTTGAAAGTATAGCTTGTAACCACACAGTTCCACTGGTTGCTTTAGTCACTTATAATTCTTTTTATTTTTTTAGTATTCAATTAAGCTATAGGAGGTTTCAAGCTAATAGATTTCTGTTGAGAAAATGAGATATTTGAATACATGTGATGATAAACTGTACAGTTGTGAGATAGCAGCAGTCTTCTGCTGTGCTCCAGGCTTGGGTGGGCCAGAATGCTAAAGCTCTGTAATAGTAATATATTTTACAGTGAGAAGTTTTATTTGTGGATGCTAACTTGCCTGGAGGTTTGAGATTTTTAGGGATTTTGTTGATAAATGGACAAACTGTTTGAATATAGAGCCCAATGTCAGTACGTTCTCCTGCAAGAATAAAAGTCAGCTATTTGTATTAAAAATAGCATTATTAATAAGTGAGGGTTTGGGGGTTTTTTATATATTTATAAAAATAAAAAATACTTCAGCAGGTCCAATTCTCCCTAAAGAAAACAATTATTCTGTGACAGGTCAACTAGGGTTCCAACGGTTTTTTTCTTATAAATTACAGCATGCTGAAAACTTCGTAATGTTTGACTGAGAGAAACCCTTGTTACTGTCAATGCTCAGCTACATGAAAACTCAGTGAGAATCTTGCCATACAATACACAAGCTATATTTTTGTTTGGAATTTTTTGTAATGCCTCTTTTCCAATGTTATCCTGCCTCTGAAGCTATTGATAAAAGGAAAAATACACTATTATGCGTTTTCATCTTTTTTTTTTTTTTTTTTTTTTTTTTTTCCCCCAGAGATAAGAAGCACATGGCTGATGGTGTAAGTGATGCTGTAGTGGACATTTTAAGCATGGAAATGGAAGCAGACAAACTGGAAGCAATGAAAATCCTGGCTAAGCTTCGAGAAGCAAAACGATATTTGCAGGATGTTTGGAGCTAAATATTTAGGTTTTCCTATGCCTTTGTAACACAGAAGATTTCGTTTCACACATATGCTTTTGACTAAAAGTTACTGTCAAGAGTGATGTCTGTAGTCACCCAAATCTTAACTTTCTGTATTGACTTTTCAAGCAGGAATATGAAACCTTTTAAACAACAACAAAACAGACTGCCTTTTGAAGTGTATGTTTTTTTTAATGATGTTACATAATGGACTGTGTCAGTGCCTTGATTCTCTCATTTTAAGATTGGTTTAATGTAAAAGTAAAACCTTCTGCACTTGTACAAGTATAACTGTATGTTTACATTACATGATATATTTTTTCCTGTAATGTATACATAAAGAAGCTACAGAGTAAATATGTTACACACTGATCTATGCATCATCAAATACGTTACTGACTTGCCAAGATTTATTTGAACATTTCCTAGATACTTCCTGCGACTATTTATATTTTTTCAGCTTGCACAATGACAGTAACTACCAAAAGGAATGAATGTTCAGAATGTTGCACAGAAAGCTTACTGCAGAATTTCAAGTCTGAAGTTTTCTTTAAATACTTAACTTTTTCATTCCATCATTACATCATATCTCAAAGTTTTGCTATACTCCATGCTAATCCTTATTACGTTTTCTTGCATAATTTTGAAATTATTTTCATTCCTGTCTCTAAAATGTTTGTGGTTTAATTTATGAGCAAACTCACCAGTTGGATTGAATTTGCTTGCTAGAGAAATATTGCTTAGCAAGTACTTTCTCAGATTACTAAACTAATTTTTTTAAGTTGAAGACATAGTAAAATATGGTGTTTTGAAAGTAGTTGCCCTTACATATGACATCCACTGCAAAAATCACGTTGTTGAAAGCAAATTGTTGAAGTATCAGGCCTTCTTTCTAGCAAGGGACATTTGGAGTGCAAATAGGTGGAAGAGTAAAAGTGTAAGTCAGTCATGCTTCTCTTCAGATCCCTCATCTTTTTCTCTGCTTTTTCTAACTTCTAAACGTCTGTGTTGTCTTCTTGGTTCCTTGTCACATTTAGATCTTTAAAGATAAACACAAAGTATGAGAGCATATTTTAGACAAATCATTGTTTGTGTCCTGGGGAGAATTCTTGTTTTGTTTTGCCTTACGCGTAATCAGAACCACATCACTTATTCCAAGTCTTGTGGTTGCCTAGTGATTCTTAATTAATTGGTAGGTAAATCAAGAAAAAAAATGGAAAAAATACAGCGATCAGTTAGAATGAAATCATGTGCTTATAAAAGAAACATTGTAGTGAAGTGCCTGGAATTAAGGTTTTGATAGAACTAGTGTAATGATTATTCAAATATCCTTATAAGAGATCAACTAAAATTTTGTGCAGAAGTTCTTCAGCAGAGCCGTTATACCAATCACTGTCAAGTAATCTCTACAAAAAAAGCTCCATAGGGAGATGGCTTAAAGTAATTGCAAACAGTGCATTTTTTGATCTTTGGCACATAAGAAGGAAAGAAGTGCTGCTTTTTGAAAAGTATCCCAATTTTAAACTTTAACAGAAATGGCTAAGGTGATACAAACGTCAACATTTTGCATCAGCCAATCACCTTTACATGTTTTTTAAAAGTCACTAATAAAAGAAAAAGCTGCCAGTATTGCAATAGTAAAGATAAATCACTAACTGCCTTCTTTTAACTGGAGTTTGTTTGGAAATAACACTTATTATATCATGTGTGTTCTCAGATAGGCTTTATGATTTTCAGTGCCACTTGGAAGTTCTTGGAGATTACAGAGAAAACAATGTTTTTCTGACTGCAAATTGCAGCTTTTCCCAGATCTCTTAGAGGTATTCATTTTTGTGTTACTTACATATCACAATACAGAAGTTGCAATGACCATTTTAGTAATACTACAGATAATAGAATAGCACCTTTTGGGATATTAACAGTTGAGTGTCTTTTTCTGATTGTGTGTATTGCATTTGACAGGGTCTGATATACAACTGGTATCCATGCATTTCCCCTCTCCTGTTACCAATTCTCTACAAAACTAAAATACTTGGATTATTTAGTAATGTAGTGGTAAGTCCGTAGTGAAGTGCATGAGCTTTATTATGATCTCTTAGAACAACAAAAAGTAGTTGCAGCTTACTCTTAAATTTATAACTGCATGGTACAAAGCCCAAAGTTCAAACAAGCTAAAATAACCCCGAAAAAAGCCGCCATGTGTTACCTGAAGGAAGTAGGAATGAAGGAATGCGTTCACATTCAGTGACATTGAACGAGCAGGAAAGGCAGGGAGGAAAGGACTTCTGAGATACAGGAATCATGGAAATGAAGGAGGCTTGCAATAAGAACTGTATGTTTTTCTTAATTAAATTGTGTCTCTGTGTAATTGGATGGCGCTGATTTATGACTCCTCAGCGTGTCTTTTAGAAAAGCATACACGGGTGGCTTTTACTATATCTCCTAAAGCTAACCAGGGGATTTTTTTTAACATCTTTTAGTTTTCTTTCATTAGAGAAATGCCATGTATGTGCTTTTCCTCATAATTCCAGAATTGGTTACAGAATTCCTTTGTCATTTAAAAGAAATAGCGATGGTTGTGTGCCGTTTCTTATATTTGAGAGGCTTACAGTCTTTATGCTGGTAACAAGGACTGGTGGTTATGCTAAAGCTGTTGTTCCAGAGAAGCATTCATGGTAAAGCATTCTTTATGGCCTGTTTTCTCATCAGTTTTTGAATATTATTTTGAATTTGTGAAATAGGGTTGATGTTACAATTTCTCTTTTAATCTACAGTTTCAGAAGAGGGTTTGCTTTTCAGATTACTAAACTCATGCCAAATTTTTCCAGTGTGCTGCTTCTAAATTCAAGCTGACTTTACTGCACTTGGAAGCAGAAGCAGTATTTCCATGTTTCTTGCACCCCTATTTCCTCTCTCTTTCCTTCCCCCTTCTCTCCCAGCTTTTCAGGAAATTAGAATATTGGCAGAAATAGGATGAATGCATCTTTTTAGCAGTCTCTGAAGATACTGGGTATCAGATTCTCCTGAAAAATGACAAGGCCAGATGAGAGAAATGGCAAAATCAGAGAACATGACTAGCGTATCAGTTTAGGGATTGAACTTAGCTACTGAATGGCACCTTAGGTGCTGAATGCCACAAGGATGGGGGTGGGAGGAGGTTACTGGAAGTAAGAGTCCAAGTTGATTAAGTCTCAAAATAAAATAAGGTTGTGGAATAAGGCAGGAGCTGTGTTGCAAACCATAGAATTTGTAGGCAATTTGAAAATATGCAAATAGTTTTTTCCCTCTTTCACTGTTCCAAGTTAACAGCAGCTATGATTTGGAGATAAATCCGACAGCGTTTTACCCAAAATGAAATGTTTTGTTCTAAGGAAACTTAGATCACTGAGCTAAAACATTTTGAGGCGTTCTCCAAACATTGGCTTATTTGGTAAAATTGACTTGGCCTTCGTAAATACTTTTGTTCTGCCCAACTTTGTGGGGCAGAGAAGAGGAGGATAGAAGACGACTTCAAAACAAACAAAGAAAACGCACGCACGCACACACACAAAACCCTTGGCTGATTAACTTGTTTTTTTACCTCAAAGGAAAAGGGCAGTGTCAAGTTGTGTGCTGTGCTTGTTGAACCTGTTTCACCCATAAGCCTTATCCTATTTTGGATCGCTCTTGGGGAATGTGTAGTGTATTGCTGTCTGCTTGTTCCTTTGGAAGCTAAGCCCCAAGGCCACAGTTTTTGGCTTAACTGCATTCCAGTTTTACTTTGGAACTAGAAATGGGGAAAAGAGTATTAGCTTAAGAGAAAGCGGTTCTAGTAAGTCTCATCAGTAATGCAATTGGGAAACATGCTCATAACTCCCTTTCTGTCTTTGGTACTTCTGTTATTCTATCTGAGCACTTGTCAGCTGTGTACGTGATCCTCACAGCTATTGCTCTGCACTGCTCTTAGATAAACTTACCTTCATTTTACACGAAGAGAAACCCAGGCAAGGAAAGGCTACTGAATTGCCCAAAGTAAAGAAGGAAATGAACAGAGACTTGAGCTGCTGTTTCTCCAAGTGTCATGCTACTGATTAGCTCATAGATCCGCCTTCCTCATGCATTTCCTCAATAATTGCAGTCTGATATCACAGAAAATCCAGTTACTTTCCAAAAATGTAGAGGTGTTTTTTAATAATAAGTTTGAGTAACTTTTGTACAGTGGGATGGAAAATCTAAGCCGCACACTTTGTGGGAAGCGGTAGGTCCTGCTGCGCTCTACACAAATTCTGTCCTGTCCTGGGACCGCTGTGCCAGAGGTGCCAGCAACGGGTGCGTGAGGGTACGTGTGTCAGTGTGCGATTGTCGGTGAGTATCAAGCTGGACTAGCCAGCAAGTCGGGCAAGTGTCTTGTGCGACAGCTGGAGGAGTTGGCTACTGGAGGGACCAAGAGGTGCAGGCCAACTGCTGGAGAGCCCATGGGGTCTGCAGGTCAGCTGAGGCCCGTTTGCGCGCGTGTGTGTCTCTGGGCATGAGGCAATCGGGGAGAGCAGGGATTCAGGGCCAGCTGCTGGGCGGACTGTGTGTCTAAGCCCAGCTACTGGTGGGATCCACAGTGTATGTGTTGGTCAGTGTTGGTGGGATCCACTTTGTGCATATGTACATATATATTTCCCACTAATGTCCTTTAGTCTGGTCAGCTGGAGAGAGGGACAACTGCTGGTTGGACCTGGGATCGCTCCCAGTTTAGATCAGAGCCTGATACAGATAAGCATGTATGTGAATGCCAGGGAATGTTCTTGCCCTCGAATTTCATCCCTGAAAGAATGGATGCTTAAATGTATTTTAAAATCAAACCCCAAGCCTAAATTGACAAAACTTAGTGTTTGTTTGGTTTTTCTGTGTTTCATCACCTGGTATTTAGTGCATCCAGTGTAACTGAAGGTGAGGCCACATGTGGGAATGTGTATTTTTCTACATGTGAAGCCACACACACAGTTTTGTAGCAGAGCTCTTGTGCCT